GAAGATACAGGCTGCTGACCTCCCAAAGGGCTCTAGGAGAGGGCTGCCCATGAGGTATGATTTTAGGGACATTGAGAAGGGACTCCCTCATAACTTCATCAAAATTTCCCTTCCCTTCTTCCTCCTCCCTTCCCCCTTCTCCCCCATTACCCTATGATCACAGTCTTTGCCTTAAGATTTTTGCCCCTTTTTAAAATGCAAATACCCATCAGAGAGGCAATACATTGAAGTATTATTAGTTACCAGCATTTTAGTGGGAGTTAATCATATTCTTTCTTGAGAGTGGCCCTGCTAGGAAGGAAGGAGAGAGAATGAAATAGCATTGGAAGCCAGGGCAGAAGAGGATATCACTGAGGGATGAAAGCATGAAGCCAGGGGCAATAAAGACTGACTTTTCTGCTACTTGACCATCCCAGGAGGCACAGGCGGGCAGCAATATGGGCTGCACCAAACAGCAAGCCTGGGATGGAGGAGAGAAGTCACCAGATCACCAAACTATAGCCCAAACCGCCTAAGTCAAACGATGAAACCACAGAATAAGCTGTTTCTGGTAGAAACAGGAGGTACACTCTTTCCCAAGTGTTTTTGTATTGGGTGCACAAGGCTCCTGAGTGTGTATATGGCTTCCCAGGGTTCCTTCCTGGGAATGTGCATGGCTCTCCTGGTTTCTTTGTCCTGGATGTATGGCTGGCTCTCTGGACTGGTTATCTGCATGGCACCTCCCAGCTCCCCGACTCTGATCCAGGTGTGTGCAGATTCCTCTGGTTCTCTATCTTGGATACAAAGCGCTCAAAAGCTCTCTGTTCTGGGTCCTTAGTCCTGGGAGTGACTGGGATGTCAGAGACTGAATTATAGTGTCTCTTGATGTTAATGAGGCGTACAAGTTCTCTCTCTGTGAGGACTGTTTCATTACACCAGTTACTGGAACCTACTTCTCCCCCTCTGCAGACTATGGATAATCCCTAGTAGCTGAGAATCTACATTTGATCACATTAGCAAGATGAACTTTCCCTCAGACCAGAGTAATCTCAACCATTCTGAGATGGGATGAGACCTTGGTAGGCTGAGTCCTTTACCAAGTGGCCTGTTTTCTAGAATCTTGTGTCAACACCCTTGAAGTTGTAGTGAAACAACAACTTCTTACATGTTTAACATGTTTTATAGTTTTAAAAAAGATTTTCACATTCATTATCTCATTTAATCCTTATGCCAATCCCAAGATGTAGGCAGAGCAGGACCACAATTACCACCACTATTTCACAGATGAGGAATCTGAGACAGAAAGTTTAAGTGACTTGCCACAGGTTATACAACCAGTATGTGGTAAGCAAGGATTAGAATTTAGGGCTCTAGTCCAGTGTGCCCTCCCCAGTAACACCCTGGAAGATGCTATGGATCACCTTCTCTTCCTGGATTCACTTTCCTCCCTAGGTTTTCAAGACATTCTGTTCTCCTGGTTCTCCTCCTCAGTTTCTTTTGCTGAACTTACATCCAGATCACTCCCACTAACTGTTGGTATCTCCAAAGCTCTGTCCTGGACCCTTTTCTCTTCTCTCTCTCCATTTATCTTACTTGATGATTTCATCAGCTCCCATGGGTTCAACTATTATCTCTATCTAGATGATTCTGAGAGTTATATATCCAGCCCTAGTCTGTCTCCTGAGCTCTAGTCCTGCCTAACTGCCTTTGGAACTTGATCTAGAATTCCCTTGTCTTACCTTGAACTAGATGTCCCACAGGCATCCATCTCAAACACAACCTGTCCAAAACAGAACTCATCTTCCTCTCCCACTCTCCCCAACCTCTTCTGAACTTCTCTATTATTGTCAGGGAACTACCATCCTCCCAGTCACCCAGGTCAACCAGCTCAGTATCATCTTCAGCTCCTGACTTGCATTCTCTCCAAACTGCTACTAAGTCTTGCCATTTTAACCTTCTCTTCCTGCACACTTTCTTCTCTCCCTTGGTAGCATCTCCTTCTGCCCTGACTCCCAGTGCCATGTCATTCTTTAATCTTTCTCCCTTCCAGAACCATTCTCAGAGAAGAATCTGATTAATTCCCACTAATACACTGATGTCTAATAACATCTCTCATATGACTCCCCTAATCTTCACTCACATAGCCATCACCCTAGTTCAAGTTCTTATTACCTCTTACCAGAATGAATTCAATAGTCTTCTGTGGTCTCCTTGTCTTGCCTTTTCCTGCTCCAATACATAGTCCACTCAGCTGCCAAAGTGATTTTCCTAAAGCACAGGCTTGACCACGTCACCTTCCTACTCAATAAATGTCAGTGGTTTCCCATTACTTCTTGGGCCAAATATAAAATCCTCTGTTTGATACTGAAGACACTTCAGAACCTGGCCCTACCTTTCCAGGTTTCTTACTCTTTACTCCCCTTCACCATCTCTCCAATCCAGCCATATTTGCCTTTTTGAATGTTCTTCATACACGATACTTATCTCCCAACTTGGTACCTTAGAATAGCTGCCCTTCCTTCCCTCTCTCTTCCTCTTGGCTTCTCTGAAAACTCAGCTGAAATTCCACCTTCAGCAGGAGGCCTTTCCCAACCCCCTCTGAGGTTACTTTACTGCTCTGTACATATTTTGTATTTACATGTTGTTTCCCTCATTAGAATGGGAACTCTTTGAGAACAGAACCTGTGATTTTACCTTCATTTCTCCAGTGCTTAACACAGCATCTGGCACTTGCTTGTTGACAGAGATCATCACAGAGATTCCCCCTTTGATGCTTCCCAGGGCTCGTTTACCAAACTGCTTGGATAAGGATTAATTCTCTGATGAATTGGGTTCCGTGACCATCCCTTCCTCCCAAACTTCCATATAATTGTAGGTAAGCTATGCTCCCATATGAATGCTAAGAATTTAACTAAAATTGGCTAGCATGTCTTCTAATCTACCCATTTTCCTTTGATCTCTATAATATAAAGGATATCTCCAAAGTCTTAGTGAAGCTTTTAAGCCAATAAAAACCTAAAGTTGAACTAAGACTTTGGGGACACGATAATAAAATAAGCATCCTATGCATTTGTGCTTGGTTTAACATTTTGATTTTGCTGTTTCTATCCTCTCACAGATACATATGTAGGTCTATATCAACAGGTCTGTTTAAAACTGTAAATTCCCAGAGGACAAAATATCGGTCTATAGAATTCCCCATAGTGTAGTAAAATGTAATCATAGGTCAGGCTAAGGAATCATAAGCAATTTGTAGAGGAAAGGGACTTAAGAGATCATCTGATCCAATCTTATGATTTTCCAGATTAGAACATGAGATCCCTCTGCCTATAATAGTGGTATGGGTACTTTGGAGGGATTTTCACCAAAGTGTCAGGCTACTAATTTTTAAAACAGCAGGCCTCCATCATGTTACATTTTAATTTACATGAAGGAATGCCCAAGAGACAACCCAGCCCTTTGGCCTAGGAAAACAAATGCAAGTTAAGTGAGCTTCAATGCAAATGATATTTCTGAGTCTTAGTCCTAGGGTTTGGGGGCCTCAGGTACAAGGGTTTATAGGTCACAGCAACACTGTTCTTGCTGGGGGGCAGTGATGGTCCTTCTGAAAGGCTGCTTTTTAGATTTGCTATACGGAAGTTTCACCAAGTTCTTTATTTCTCTTGGGACCCCTGTGTCCTTTGCTTTCCTCCATACTAGGATAGCTTGGCAAGGTAGCAGAAAGTCATGAGTTTATGGGAAGGGCATTTTCTCTATTAGAAGCATCTGATTAGTTTCCCATCTCTGATGTAACTGACTGGAAGATGCTAGGAGACTTGATCTTTGAGGCCCTAACTATACAAGCAAAGAGCTGGTAATAGACATTTCTAGAAAACGGAAGTAGAAGGGACAGTATTAGGTAGGAGGAAGGGGGTAGGTTCAGAGAAGAGGCAGCCTGCTGGCAAAATAACCCTAGAGGTCTTAGAGAGAATCAAAAGGGCAGAGGACCTTTAGACATCATAGGCCCACAGAGATTAAGTGCTTTGCCCAAAGTCACAGAGTTAATTAGTGGCAGAGCCAGGATTAAACCCAGTTCTCTTGCTTCCCAGTCAGATGAAGTTTCCTATAAAGCCTTGTTGATGGTGATGGTGGCGTCAAAGACAACACAAACAGCGGCTGATGACAATAGTTCTGTTAGGCTGCTCAGAGGCTTAGCTCAGCTTCATCTGGGGCAAGGGTACCTGGCTGGCTGCTGCTAAACTGGCTAGGAATGTTTTCTTTCTCCCGACAGTATGGGCACAGCCTCAAAAGGAGCCATGCATGAAAGGGGAGTAGAAGAGGAGGGAGGACCTTTGGTTAGGCAGATCCTGAGGCAGTGTGCTCTGGGGTGGGCATCATGACCTCCAGCATCTACCCTTTTCTGAGGGTGCCAGCAGGATAGACTCTACCAGATAAGAATGATTTTTCTCTTGGGTCTGTCACATACACTTTTTGTTCTTTTCCAAATGTGTGTGGGGGGGGGCGAGAGGGGAGACACTATGCCCAGAGAAGCTCCCTCTGGAACCTGGAGACTGTCTAGTAGTTTGGCTTGTAGAGATCATCCATTATTTGGAATTGGGGTATCCTCTTAAGGGCTATGTGATCGACCTTTTCAATTCTATTCTTTACCAAGGACCTGGTTCACTCCCTAGAAGGAAAGTCTCGGAAAAGAAATTGGAGTCCTCAACCCGATGCACACCTAATCCCAGGGGACAGTCTTATTTAGCTACATGGCTGCTCTATCCTCTGGAGTGTTAGCTTCATTCCCAAGGAAGAAAGGGGGAAAAGACCCCCTTATCATTAGCTGTCATCAGGCTCTTAAATGATCATTCCACGAAACTGTGGAAAGAGTTTGGACCCACCTCAGGGCTCTTGCTTGGAGTAGTTCCTCATAGTTCTGACAAGTGATCCAAAGGGCTGGGGCAGGAAGCAGGAGGTCATTAGGACCCAGAAGCCTTCTATGCGTCCTCCACTGCCTGCTGCCTCTCACTCCTCACTGCAGTGGTTCTGAGCTTCAGCAGGCATAGAGGAGCATCAGCTGAGTGGGGCTGGTACCAGGGAACTGGAAAGCTTCTTGGGAAAGGTAGGAGTCGATGACTAGGCCAGGACCCAGGGCCAAACCTGGGGCCTGGGAATGGACACTGAGGTACTCTGGAGAGGGCCACCTTCGTACCTAAATCATAGGTACCTGAGTGTCCTGTGGTGGTATTTCATTTCTAAGGGATGGGTACCCAGGTATCCCAAAGATGGATATTTTATATATAGGGCACTTCCATAGCTTGTCAGTTGGCAAATCTTTCCTAGTAATGACAGCATCTGCATCCTAGGGATGAAATCCTGGTTTCTTTCTATCAGAAATCTGTTTGTTCTGCAGTAAGATCTTCCTATGTGTCAGAGATTAATCTGTATCCTACAGTGGGCCCTTTAGAAGCCTGATTGAATGGGCAACTCTGAGCATAGGTGCCTCTCTGTTCCAGGAATAGAAATCTCTCCCTTGGAGAGACCACAGGCAACTCTCTAGCCTAGGGGTAGGCACCACTAGTGTCCTTGAGATAAACATCTTCAACTTGATGTGTGTGTGTGTGTGTGTGTGTGTGTGTGTGTGTGTGTGTATGCCAATGGCACATTTGCATTATGGAACTGAGTATACTTGTATCTTAGCAATAAGCACATCTATATTCTTAGCACAAACGCAACTGCAGGGTAACCAGGAACTTGGGGAAAGGCTCAGGTCCTATTCCCTAAGGTGGCAGCTGTCTCCAGAGGCTCAAGAGTCCACATATCTGCAGGGAGGGGGATGGGAGAAGCCAATGGAGAACATGGATGGTCAGAACTGTACGAGACATTGTAGGAGCAAGGTTCCCTACGGTTCACTTTATTAAACCTTTAAGCCATGGTCGTTCCCTTTACTACCATAGTCCATCAGGGAACCACTCTGTACTCAGAAGAAAGAAGTGACAGGAAGGTGCAGAAAGCCAAGGGGTATCTCTTCAGTTCACTGTGAATGGGAATGGGAATCACTGAGACTTAGAAGTCAGTGTGATGCCGATGGGAACAGTGAAGGAAAGAGATATGCATGAGTGAGGCCTTTCAGGCTATCTTTTGAGCTCTACTCATTGCCTGTTCCCTTTATCATTGCTATTACAAGACTTCTGGGGATCGTGGTCTGCTCCCCCTTAGCCTGAACTCTTCTGCATTAGGATGGCCAACTCTCTGGCTGGGGCCTTAACGTTCCAAGGGTATTTGTCCAAACAGGGTCATGTCTATCATCATGTTGAATAATGTTGGTGGTAATGGCTATCAGGATGGTTGCTGCCAGTTCTGCTGTGCCTCAACTCCCAATTCTAAGTGGCTATGTGTGCTGACTAGTATGGAGATGAAAGGCCCAAAACACCCAACCCTTTCCCCCATCCTGTGCTTCTCCTTAAGCCACTGTGATTAGAGTTTGTTATAGGTTAGGGGGCTGGCCTACCCACGATACTTCCCTTGGTCTCATCACCTTCAATTATTATCTTTGCAGAGGCTGAATTCAAGTATCTATTTTAGCTGTGATATGAACTTTGTGGTCAATACATTCTGGGATTCAGGATCCACATTCTCTGTGGAACACTCCTGACATAACTATGTATTCTTAGGTGGCAAAAGGTTTTAATTGTTCACACTGGATTGGGAGCAAGGAAATCCTCAGTGGAAGAATTGGGCTCATCTTTCCTTGTGTCCCTAAACTTTGGCATCCTACCATTTTTTCTAGGGTAGGTGGAGGGCATGTCAGTATGAAGGGCAAATGAAGAAAGCAAAGAATTATGGTGGCATAAGCTACTACTTTCAATGAAATGATGACCAGTAGGCTGTTTGACTGGGACCTTTATAGACTGGCAACTGAGCAGAAAGGTGAGCAGACTGCATGTCCTCAGTTTGCATATTAAGTTGCTTAAATTTAAATACTGAACTTACAAGGCCCTGACTTCAGGAGTAGTACATGTAAAGCAAAATAAATTACTAAAATTATCTATTGTAATTGCATAAAAATCTAGTAGTGACACGTTGAACCACCACCAATTAAGTGCATACTAGGCTCTGTGCTAGACACTAGCGTATTGAAAAAAAAAAAAAGGAAGACAGACAGAATGACAGACACAGTCCTCAATGACTTTATAATCTAATTTGGGAGATGACAAGTACACAAATGATTATATAAAATAGGACTATTGCATAGGAGGGATAAAGATATATAAAAACAGATCAAATATTTTATCAATTCGATTTTCCCATCTTGGAACAGGAAACATGGAAACCAAGACAGAAACTTTCTTCTCTCTCAGTCTCCCCATATTGTCCTCCATGATTTATACTCACCCACATACTTTGAAGATTACAATCATTTGTCCATGTTCACAGTCATGCCTATGCTCCTTCTTGTGTTACCCTCAGGGACATTGGGACCAACAATATAATTGGCAACACCAAAAAACAGCTTCCTTTCCCTCTGCCCCTTACAATGAAGAGGACTTTAGAAGCAGGGACAGGGGGATCTGGAAGTTCAGTTTTTCTCCTGCCTGCAAGGACAGCAATAGTTCTGGTTTTTTGTTTTTTTTTTTTTGGTTTTTTGGCTAGGCACTGGGGTTAAGTGACTTTCCCAGGGTCATACAGCTAGTAAGTGTTATGTATCTGAGGCTGGATTTGAACTCAAGTCCTCCTGAATCCAGGGCCGGTGCTCTATCCACTGTGCCACCTTGCTGCTCCCAGCAATAGTTTTTTAAAGTTGAAGAACCCCTAGGAAGAACTATGAATTGCCTTTAGCAGTCCATACCATACCATACAGCGAGGTTTTGAGGAAGCAGAAACAAACACAACCCCTGCTGTACCCCCCTCCCTTCCTAAGGTAAGAATTTTCCCAGTATGTTCCCAGTAATGCCCTTGGGGTGGAAGGCTGGCTTATTAGGGACATATGCAGTTACGAACATACAGTACTGACATGAGTTGTCCTTAGAAATAGGGGAGATAATCCCATTTTTCTGCAATCCTAACAATTGTAGTCCTCCCTCAAAGTTTTCAGTGCCCTCGTGGAAAAAAAAAAGAGAGAAAGGATTTATGGTCACTATGAACCAATCTTTAGAGACAGTACAAGGGAATGGATGAAAAGAGGAAGGATGGTTGTGTTTGTGTAGTGGCATGGAGTGGGGATGGGCAGTCAATTTAGAGGGCCCACAGTCACTCATTTCTTATGTTTCTTTGTAGGCTCTGAGTCAGACCCTGAAGCTACTATACCTGCTAAGGTGGAAGTACATATTCCCCTGAGCCCTCAGTTGACTGGTCTGGTACTGCCTGTAACTCATGGCTGACCTGGACCAAGAGACCTTCTGTCACTACAGTGCCATTTAGCAAGAAGGCTGGTGATAAAAGCATTGTGGGAAAGACCACTTGAGAAGTGACCCATCACGGAGCTAAGAAGGCTGAAATCTGGGCATGCCATTCCAACTGTCTGTTCTTCCTGGGTCCCCAGGGGGCACTGGACTAGGATGGCTGATGGGCTTATGACAGGAGGTGCCCCAGTCATCCCCTTCTGGCCCTATGGAGTCCTCCCCTATCCCTCAGCCATCAGGGAACTCCTCTACTTTGGGTTTGCTCCCTCTACCCCAGGGCCCCCCCAAGGGTCAATGGTAGCCCAGAGACAGGGCATCGGGATGTGGCCTCGGAGTCTGTGGCCCTCTTCTTCATGCTCCTGTTGGACCTGACGGCTGTGGCAGGTAATGCAGCTGTGATGACAGTCATTGCCAAGACACCTGCCCTCCGCAAATTTGTCTTTGTTTTCCACCTCTGCCTGGTGGACCTCCTGGCTGCCCTGACCCTCATGCCATTGGCCATGCTCTCCAGCTCAGCTCTCTTTGACCATGCCCTCTTTGGGGAGACCGCCTGCCGCCTCTACCTGTTCCTGAGTGTCTGTTTCGTCAGCTTGGCCATCCTTTCGGTCTCTGCCATCAATGTGGAGCGCTACTACTATGTAGTGCACCCCATGCGCTATGAGGTGCGCATGACCCTAGGTCTGGTGGCCTCAGTGTTGGTGTGTGTGTGGGTGAAAGCCGTAGCCATGGCCTCTGTGCCAGTGTTGGGGAGGGCCTCACCAGAGCGTGGGCCCCCCGATTTCCCCCCTGGCTGCTCCCTCCAGTGGAGCCACAGTGCCTATTGCCAACTCTTTGTGGTAGTCTTTGCTGTGCTTTATTTCCTGCTACCCCTGCTCCTCATTCTTGTGGTCTACTGCAGCATGTTCCGTGTGGCCCGGGTGGCTGCCATGCAGCATGGGCCCTTGCCAACATGGATGGAGACTCCACGCCGGCGATCTGAGTCACTCAGCAGCCGTTCTACTATGGTGACCAGCTCGGGGCCCCCCGCGGACCACCCCCCATAGGACATTTGGTGGGGGGAAGGCAGCTGTGGTCCTGCTGGCTGTTGGGGGCCAGTTCCTACTTTGCTGGCTACCCTATTTCTCCTTCCACCTTTATGTTGCTCTGAGTGCCCAGCCCCTTCCTACACAGCAGGTAGAAAGTGTGGTGACCTGGATTGGCTACTTCTGTTTCACTTCCAATCCTTTCTTCTATGGCTGCCTCAATCGACAGATCAGGGGGGAGCTCAGCAAGCAGTTCGTTTGCTTCTTCAAGCCGTCCCCAGAGGAAGAGTTGAGGCTGCCAAGCCGGGAGGGCTCCATAGAGGAGAACTTCCTGCAGTTCCTTCAGGGGACTGGTGCCACTGAGCCCTGGGCTCCTCAAACCCCAGTCAGCCCAAAGCAGGAACCACCAGCTGTGGACTTCCGAATCCCAGGCCAGATTGCTGAAGAGACTTCTGAGTTCTTGGAGCAGCAGCTTCCTAGTGACATCACTGTGTCAGATGGCTACCTCCATCCGACTCTCTCACCCCAGCCTGAACCATGATGCACTCCAGAGGACCTGGAGGGAGATGGGGCTGGGGGTAGGGGATGAGAGCAAGGACTGCTTTGCTGGATATTCTTTTAGCCAGCTGTGGCCAGTAAGGGGGTCCTGGATATGGTTTATGCCTACAGCTTTGTGGAGCAGAGAGGGAACAGAGCTAAGAGAGGGGAGCCTTTGGCTTCAGTGTGAATAAGTTAGGGATCTCTAAAGGAAGGTGCTTAGGTGTGGTTATAGTGTGTGAAAAGGGGGGACATAAAGGGAAAACCCCTCTATTAGTGAATTCCCCTTTCTGCTTTAGGACTGGGGAAACTCTAGCATTCGGGCTTGAAGGGTATGATATAATATACATGCCAGATGACTTCCAAAGTCACTCTGGGCTCAGCTGAGGTATTTCATTTTTAGTGGCATTTTCTGGAGCAAGAACTGTACCAAGAGAGGGAAAGAATGGCCCCTGGCCTCCTTTCATTTCCATATTAAGTCAAAACCAATTGTAGCTATGTGTTCCTATTTCAGTTTTTAACTTCTTTTAGCTTAATATCTAAGACTTTCCCCTTGAGAGGACTAGCTGGAGCTATCCCCTCTGAGCCTGAATCTAGCCAGAGCCAAGTCGGCTGGGAGTAGGAGGGAGTGGATCCCAGACCCCATTCTTAGGTTTCTAAGGAAGGTACTGAAGGAGACAGGAAAAATCTAACCCTCCTGAGCAAGAGAAAAGAGGCTCCCAAACAGGACAGACACTCTCCCACTGGTCCTGTCTGTTTCCTCCTATCCCTTGGCTGCCTCCTCTTCTATCCCACCAAAACAACCCTTTTGTGGTCCCTGTCTTCCTTTTACCAAGAGGGCAAAAAGCTTGGGTGTTTTTCTAAGTAAAAGACCACAGCATGGCCTTCACCCTTAACTTTTAGGTGGGGAGACTGGGGATCTGGTGAGTTAGAAGGTAGGGGTATTGGGAGGCTGGGAACGAGATACTGGAGCAAACGGGGACAAATATTTGAGGGAATAATTGCAGGGATACTAGCCAGGTGGTCACCCTGACCAGTAACATTGATGATCTTTCCCTTCTAGGACTGGCCTCTCTGATCTCCCTCCTCATGGCAGTGACCCACCTCCAGCCCCCTGGACAATCTGGTACAAGAGACAAAGGTGGGGCATGGGGAGAATGGGGTTTCCAGACATTGGCATTGCCAGTTAGTTCTCTACTCCTGTCCATCAATCTCAGAACCATCTTCAGTGACAAAGACTTAAATGTCTCTCCTACCAAGAGCTTTGGGCAGGGGAAGGACACTGGGCTCAGATGTTAACCAACTGCGACTTGAATAATAGTGCGTTTGATGGTTTCAACTGGTGACCGGAGCATGGACCTGCCAAATCTTAGAAGGAGGGATAGCAAGTGTAAGCAGGAAAATCTATAGCCTCCTGTGCACTCCATTCTTCCTGGTTTAACTGGTGGACAGGGTGAGCCCACAGGATCTCCACATGGTCATAGGGCCCTGTCAGGTCTAGAGAGTGACCCGGCCAGCACTGACCAAATTTCTGGCTCATTCAGCAAAATGGGAAAATGAGCTCATTCTTACCTTTGAGCAGCCAATAAATGTTTTCTTTTTAAAAATTTATGTTGCAACCACCAATGATTCCATCAATTCAATATAACACATACCTATTGAATACCCACAGAGTATTTTTGGGCAGGGGGTATGGCTTGTGTTAATTCCTGCCCCCAAGACATTGAAGTTCAATTTAATCTATCAGTCAGCAAGTAGTTTTACTCACAAATTAGGCAGCGGTATAGAAAGCATTTGGAAGACATATTAATGAACAGATAAAGTCCCTGCCCTCAAGGTGCTGAATGACCCAAATTTTTTTTGAAAGGATAACTACATCAGAGAATGCTGTACACATGAATATTTCAACCAAGCATTTGTTAGTCTCATGCTTTTCTTGTGGAGAAGATGGAGCTATGTGGGCTAATTGAGACTATAGCTAGGTAGATTCAGACTTGACTGAATGATCATATCCAAAGATTAACCAATCACTCCATGCCAAATTAAGAGGGAGATTTCTAGTGGAGTGCCCAAGGAAACTGTCCTGGGCCCTATACTGTTCAATGTCTCTGTCAATTACTTGAATGAATCCACAGAAGTTATGTTTGTCAAATTTTCATGATACAAAGCTAAGAATGGCTAACAAGCTGAATGATGATGGTTAGGATCCAAAACGTTTCAACAGGCTAGAACAATGGGCCAAACTTAAGATAAAATTGAATAGAGATAAATGCAAAGTTTTACAGTCAGGTTAAAAAAAATGATCTTTTAATGAGTATTGGCTAGGCAACAGTCTATGTGAAGAAGTTCTGGGGGGGTTTAGTTGAATGCATGCTTGATATGAGTCAACAGTGTAACGTGGAAACAAAAGAACTAATACTATTCATAGTGTTATAGATCAAAGGTGGTGAAATAGCTGGAGAACATGCCCAAGATTCAGATGAAATAAATGAGGGTGTTTACTCTGGAGAGAAAATGGGATAGGGAGGGTACATCTGGAGTGCTGTCAAGTACAAATGATTAACCTGTTCTGCCTGGCCCCAGAAGGCAGCACCAGGAGCAAGGGGTAGAAGTTTCAGGGAAAACTTGGATTGAATGTTAGAAAAACTTTCTAAATGATTGGTGCTGCCTAAAAGGTGCATGGCCTGCCTCCCAGCATGGTGGGTTCCCCCCTCAGCAGACATTCAAGCAGAGGCTGAATGACCACTTGTTAGGAATGGCCTGGATTCTTTCATCCAGAATTCGGAGCTTACAGATCCCTTAAGGCATTCACATAAGGAGCTCTAGGGGGTCATGGGTAAAGGCAGGTGGGGCAGAAAAGAAATCTGGGAGATGACTCCCCCAGAAAATAGCAGGTCGTCCAGGCTCTCTGGCATTTATTAAGCACCTACTCCAGTCTAGCCTCTTGAGGAACTCCACTCGGAAGAAGGTGTAGCCAGTGAGGGAGGTAGTTCATGTTTTGGAGAACAGAGCTCCATTGCTTTTTCTTCCCTCCTATGACAAGGATGGTGGTACCCTTCCTACTGGATGTGGGACAACTGCAACTTCTACAGCAGCTAGCTTGCAGCTCCCACAAAGAGCCAGCAGGTGGCACTGCAAGACACAGAAATAGGAAGAGTGGCCTCCGCCCTTGCCCCCAGTGCCTGTCAGCCATTTTGTTAACTAATTTTGCCCACTCTTTTGGCTATTTCACCCAACCTTTGGCTTTTACATTTACCGGGAACTTATTAAGTGTGAGGGTTTCTCTAATCTTTCAGTGCTAAGAAACCTCAAGTTATCTTACACCACATCCCAATGGTGTTGGAAGGCAGGTAGTTTTGTAAAAACAACACTAGACTAGATGCAGCACTTGAGTTCTAGTCTTGGCTCTGCCATTTATTAGTCATGTGACCTCAGGATATTTTTTAATTGCTCCAAACCTCAGTATTTTCATCTGCAAAAAATGGAGATGATGATACCTACCCTATCTTATAGATTTATTATGAGTAAAAAGTGACAGTATATGAAAGTGCTTTGTAAACTGAAAAGACAAATATGAAGCATTATTATTGGTGCTACGCTACGAGAAAAGCACATAGGATCAAAGATCTAGGGCTGAAAGGGACCTCAGAGGCCTTCTAGCCCAATTCTCTCATTTTCTTACAGTTGAAGAAAATGAAGTTCAGAGATTTCTCCAAGGTCACACAAGTAGCAATTGACAGAGACAGTATATGAAGCCAGGTCCTCTGATTTTAAGGCCAGTGCTCTTTCCATTGCACATGTATCACGCTGCCAGGGAAGCATGGATTAGTTTGCTCTTTAGGTTGTCCCTGTCTGCATGGACCATGAAGGAAACTGAAGACCAATTTATTGTCTTGAGATGCCCTTTCAGCTGTCCTACCGTGTCTCAGTGCCTTGCATATAGTATGTGCTTAATAAATGTCAATATTGTTATATTTTCCTGTCACCAAGATGATCAATTAATGAAGAGGGATTGTTGTCATCCTATATTCTGAAAGCTATCTCATTCCAATAGCTTGCCAAAGAAATGACCAAGAAGGGCAACTCTTAACCGCATGACTTCTTTCCTACTTTCACAGTGTTGTAGTTACTATCAACCAAAAATAACAACTCTCTAACCAATGCAAATGCCTTATAATCAGGTCTCTTTATTTATTTATTTATTTGCTTGTTTGCCTGGACCAGCCCTTCCCAGTATTTAGGAATGAAAGGGAATTTGTTTGAATGTGAAGAAGTTGATAGAATTGTCTTTGCTGGGTTACAATTAGAGTAAACAAGGCCATGTATCTTTGGCTGTCCTACAATTATTTCTGAAGGAATCAATCTTCTGTGTTAGCCAACATGGTCTCTATCTTTAAATTCACAATATTGTTGGGGAATTGAAATTGACGTGACTTAACAAGTAATGTGCTGATAACAGCAAAATAAATGGATCATAGTCATAATGGATTGTACTGCCCTGAAGTATTTGGGTACCCATGAAAAGTACCCTTTTTTTTCTCATCCCCTGGATCAGGGGTGAGGAACTTGTGGCCTTCTAGGTCCTGGGATGCAGCCTTTTGACTGAATCCAAGTTTTACAGAACAAATCCTTTTATTACGGGGATTTGTTCTGTGAAGTGTGGATTCAGTTAAAGGGCTGCACTTGAGGCCCTAGAGGTCCACACGTGGCCTTGAGGCCACAAGTTCCCCACTCCTTCAGCCTGGACTATTTCAGGGACAAGTGTGTTAGGGTCTCTTTCCAAAGTTCTGCCTGCGCATCAGAAGTTTGTAGCACTAATTGTAATACAAGTAATATGACTGTATTAATGAAGTATAGAACTTTGGTGTAGAGACTATCGTATTACCTCACTGGAATTGCTCATAGTACAAAGCACGTAAGTTCAATAAATGAGGATGGTAAGATATCATCCAGTAACAAAAACAGCACTGGACCTGAGGTCCAAAGGCCAAGTTCTAGTGCTGCCTGTCACTAATGAGAAGTGTGAACTGGGGCAAGATGTGAGCTAAGGGGCAGGGACTTAGACTTAAGCCCCCACCCTGGTGATCTGACTGACTTCCAAAGCAATCCCTCTGACTGGGCAAAGCACTAGGCTCCTCACTGGCTGAGGGAAAGAAAGATTTTTGGCAGGGCTGAGTCAAGCTTGGAATGATGTATGGTATAATGGCAAGAAACCCTAGACATGTGACCTTGGGCAAGTAAGGATAACAACAACTGGTACTTGTAACATAGTGCTTTAAGGTTTGGAAAACACTTTACATGTTTATAATAACTGCTATTTATATAGTGCTACACACACACACACACACACACACACACACACACACACACACACACGTGCTTTCATCTGATCCTCCTAAGCACCCTATCAGGTATTAAAAGGATCATTATTCTCATTTTACAGATGAGGACACTGAGGCTCTGGTGAAGTGACTTGCTCATGGTCACAGAACCAGGGAATATGCTAAAGTGAAAGGAGCACTGGATGTAGACTCAGAGGACCAAGCTTCAAACCCCAGATCCGCTGCTTGTTTATTTGTGTGTCCCTGAGCAAGTTAATTCACCTCTCAGTTTCCTCACCCTTAAAATGAGGGATTTGAACTCAAATGTGTCTTCCAGTTCTCGGTCTGTGAGTACTGCCAGAGATAGGTTTGCAAAGGTAGAGTGACTTTCCCAAAGTCACATTGCCAGGATTTGAATCCAGGCTCTCTGACTTCAAATCCAGCCCTGTTTCTACACGAACTTACCTCTCTGGTTCTCATTTATAAAACAAGAGGCTGGGAATAGATGATCCCTAAGATGCTTTCCGGTTTGGACCCTCAGGGATGCGCTGACAGGTAAGTGGCCAAAGGTTTTTTCCCCAGGGGAGGAACAAATGGGTAGAGGAGAGTTTTGGCCTTGTCAAAGGACCTGGGTTCGAGTCCCAGCTCTGCGTGGGGAAGTGACTTAACCCCTGCAGGCCTCGGTTTGCTCGTCGGTAAAGCGAGGGGAATGGAAGGCCAGGCGCCGGGAAGACGCTCAGCCCCGGCGGCGGGCGGGGAGTCCTCGGTTCTTTCACGTTCCCCTGCCTCGGGCAGCACGGCTGAGTGGACGAAGCCCGAAGAAAGTGGGGTTCGCCACCGTGCTCTCCCTCAGGAGATCCCGCCAGGTTTGTGCGTACCGCTCCCCGCCCCGGCCGCCGGCCGGCACTTCCTTCGCCCGTCCAGTTCGAACGCTAACGGCCGCGGGGCGTCGCCGGAAGTGTCGTCACCACAGGATATCCGGTTCCCCGGGAGCTACGGAAGGGGACGGACGGGGCCTCCGCCCAGCAGCAGCAACCGCCGCGGTAGCCCCCGCGAGAGCAGCCGCCGTCGCCGTCGCCGCTGCCCCAGCCGGTGCCGAGCCTCCGCGCTTTGTGAGTGAGCCCGGGCCCGGTCCCCTCTCCCGCCGCCGCCATGGGCTGCACGCTGAGCGCCGAGGACAAGGCGGCGGTGGAGCGGAGCAAGATGATCGACCGCAACTTGCGGGAGGACGGCGAGAAGGCGGCCAAGGAGGTGAAGCTGCTGCTGCTCGGTGAGGAGGCTCCGCGGGGGGCCGGCGTGGGGTCGGGGGGGAGCCGGGTGGACAAGGGACTGTGGGCGTGTGTGTGTCTGTGTGTGTGTGTATGTGTATGTGTATGTATGTACACCAGGGAGGGCGTGGCTGGGGCGTGCGGGTGTCTGTCGCTGGCGGGGGGGGGGGGGAAGCCCGGGAGGGCGTGACTGGGGTGGAAGGAGAAAAATTCCGGCTGTGGGGCCGGGCCCGAAGTTAGCAGCTGGGCCTGGGGGGTAAGGAGTAGCCTGGCCCTGGGGTTTGGGAGCTGGAGACCAAGATGGGGCCTCCAAGGTGAGAGAGGAGAGCGGAGGGGCTGAGATGGCCCGGGTGAGGTGCCTACTCAGGACAGTGGCCTCTGAGGTCCAAGTTCGCACGTCAGGAGCTCCTGACAAAGGCTAAGGTGTATGCGGGGCTTTGAATGTTTGTGGAAAGGCAAGGACAGAACTGTCCCACCGGGGCAGCCTCGTTAATAATAATACTAATAATATTCAACAGGAGCCGGCATTTAAGTATTGCTAGCTCCTTCCCTCTCTTGATGGTCTCCAAAGTTCTTTGCATGCTGTTTCCTCCATCAGCTCCCTGAGAGCAGAAGCACTGTTTTTGCTTTTGCTTTTTTTTTTTGTATCCCCAGCACTTAGCACAATGTCTGTTGCTTCGTAAGAGCTGGATAAATGGTTTTTGATTGACTGCTCTAAAGCTTGTAGAATACTTTACAGACATGTAAGGGATGCTCTGACAGGACAGAAAAAAGGTTGTTTTTTCCCCCCCTCTGGGGACCGAAAGGTAAAGGAGGGTTGTGGTCTTTTTGTTGCGTGTAGCAACATTTGAGCTTCACAACAACCTTGTGAGGTAGGTACTATCTACGTTTTGCAGAGGAGGAAACTGAGGTCCTAGAAAGTTCAGTAACTTGCTTGTGATCATTTAGCTAGTGTTGGATTTAAACTCAACTCATTCCCGACGTCACGTGCAGCTCTCTTTCTCTTGCTTTCTCTTTCTACCTTGCTTAGTGGTGTAGAAAATAAGCATGTGGGATAGTTAGCAAGATAAAGAGGAATATAAGAAAAATAGAGATAAGTATCTGCTTGGGAATGAGAGATTAATACCAGCTTGGGTAAATGATAAGACTCTCTGCAACTAGAACATAATGTCTTGGTATAAGACCGCTTCTGTGTCTGTTGCAGTTGCTGCCAAAGTATCAGTAGTCTAACTTTCAGTCAAGCATATTCTTTTTTTCCCCTGCTTTTTGTATTATAGACGGGAAGATGGCTGAGTAAACTTCAAGGAGTGATTGGGGTTGATTAGGAGATGGTGAAGAGAAAAGATACTTTTCCTGTAAGAGTGGTTTGAACTGAAGGAAAGGGATGATCTACATAAGTCAGTCATCTAAGCTGATATAAACTTTGAAATAAACTATAAGGTGATGGATTTTTTTTTCTTTAAAGAGTGACAGACTTTTAGAGGACTGTTTCTTTTATATTTTCTGATAGGCTTAAAATAAGGCCTCAAATCAATGGTCCTGATACCTGAAATTTGATTTTAGTGATATTTCTTTGAAATCAGATATATTTTTCACTCAGCAAGATTATCTTGGAATTTTTGAAGTATTTTGGTATCAAAAATTCTAAAAATCATCCAGAATATATTGGCATTTAGGGTTCTAGTAAATCAGATCACATTAATGAACGTTTTGAAATTTAATTACTCCTAAGAATGGAATAATCTCTCCAAGGGAAATTACATAAATCTCATAATGTTGTAAAATAACTTCAGAGAACTCAGTATAGGTCATAGCCATAGTTGTATGAGACCTTCAAGGATTTACCGGATAGCCCAACTGTCTTATTTTCATGGTCTGAACAATTTTAAGGTTACAGATGTAACCTGGGGTATACTATTCCACACGGATTTACATAACTGGGTTCAATCTAGAGGTTCTCATAAATCACCTTTTGGTTCACATACTCATTCTGAGATTCTCCTGGGAACCTCAGAATTTGACTATTTTTCTCTCCCTACTCAGCTTCATCCCCAAGAGTTATATCAGAATAATGCTCATGTTATGGTCTCTATACATGTGAATAAAAGTGCCCTCAACTCCAAAGCAATTTCTAAAGAAAACAATATATATATATCAAATACAGGACAGCCTTTATTTTGTCCTCTAGAAAAACTTAAAAGACCCAAAAGATTTCTAGAAATCCATACACATATAAGATACATTCCTCCTTTTCTTTGGTGAATCCTGTCTTCCTGTAGGGTTTCTAAGCACAGCCCTATGGTAAATACCCTAGAAAAAGACTTATTTATCCCTCTGTTCCCAAGGAACTTGTACAGATTTCCAGACTTTGAATGCTACCCTAGCCCCAAAAGAGAATATTATACTTCACATTACCCTTCAAGTCAACACCTTCCTTGAATAGTAGCATATGACTTTAATCTCCGCTACTAGAAAGGCCATAGCTGGTAGATCACTTGAGCTCAGGAGTTCTGACTTGCAGTAGGGCTAAAACTGTTCTGTTGTTTGCAAAAAGTCTGGCATCAGTATGGTATATCCTAGGGAGGGCAGGAGGATGGAGCTAGGGATATGGGGAAGAACTGACCCACACTGATAGCAGAGCAGGTCAAACTTCTTGTGCTTATCCATAGTGGAGTTGGCCCCATTGATGGTCTTGACCCAGTCATGCCTTTCCTAACTTCCACCTTCTTCCCTCCTCCCTCAAAAAAAGAAAGAAAATCAAATCAAATCAAATCAACCCTCTTTCCCATTGCACCTGCTCAGTAGTAGAGGAAAAGGTGTAGGTTGCTCTGTCACATCATAGCCCTATCTCTTGCTGTTCTGCTAGTTGCTAGGGCCACATGGGTGCTACTCTTCTTTTCCAAGAGTCTTGGTTGAGGAGCTCCAGTGGAAATCCTCTTCTGCACTCCAGAAGGCTAGGTCAAGGAGTTTTTGTTGTTTTACTGTTGCTTTGGCTATTGCCATCTCTTTTGTCATGAGGTTCGTGTGGTTCCTCTTAATGCATCTCCTATCTTTGGGGTGGATTTTAATCCAGTTAAAACATACCTTTCCCTCTTCCCCATTCCATCATGCAGTTATTTAGTCTCATTGAAGTATTAACAGTTACCCAGACCAAATGTAAAAACCTGTCTGAAGTGAGGTGCCTGTGGGGAATGTTCACATCTATTAAAATCTCAAAACTTTATCCTTTACTATTGTTGTATTGTTTAAATTTTCTTTCGTTCACACCTTCTACACTGTCTTGGTAAAAGCTTTTTTCAAATGTGCTAAAAATAATTATTGGATCCCAATCCTAAAGTTTGACTATATAAATCTCAGATTTAATCCTAAAACTATTTTTTAAGTATTCCTCAATCCCCCCCCTTTTTAAACAGCTGTTTGGTAGTAAACTGTATATAGTTTAACATTGCCAGCTGATGTTGGACATTGACCTCACAGTCTAATCTTTAGTGTTTATAGATCCCTATTTGAGATGTAAGCAATTTAATTCACCAGTCTAATCATAGAATCCTAGAAATTGAACCTCAGTTCAATCCTTACTGAAGTCTTGAATCCCTCTACAACATGCCTAATAATGATGATGATGATGATAGTAATAATTGACTAATATAACATTTTGAAGTAGAGTGTTTTACATATATTATCTCATTTGAGCCTCCTAAAACCCATCTGAGGGAAGCTGTACTGGTACATACAACTACTATTATCTCCATTTTACAGATCAAGAAAATGAGGCTGAGAGAGGTTAAAAGAACTGCCCGCGATTATACAGTTAGTACTCGAAGTAAACTTGGAACCCAGGTCTTGACAAGAGGGCCAGTGTTCTGTCTGCTATGCCATGCTACTTTCCACAGCCTCTTCTGGAAGATTTCTAGTGATAGAACACTAAATGTGCTTGAGGAAGTCCATTCCAGTTTTTTTAGTGTCTGTAATTATTAGGACATTTTTCCTTATCTTGAACTGAAATCTTCCTTCTAACTTCGGCTTATTGTTCCTCAGGGTTGTGTATCAAATGAGACGTTTTTTAAATGCTTTGCCTTTGGGGGCCTAGCAGAACAAATGTAATTCTTAAACATGGCAGTCTTTTAGATATTTGAAGATTGTTATTTTGTTCCTCTAAATCTTTTTTTTTCTTTTGGTTAAACACTTCTATTTCCTACAATTGATTCTCATCGAGTCCCCTAATCATCCTAGTCACCCTACTCTAAAACAGCACCCTAGACTTGGTCTGATCAATTTTAGCTTTTTGGGCTACCATAACACACTACTAACTTATATTAGGCCCATTAAATCTCTACATATTTTTCACATATGTTATGTTCTCATAACATCTCCTTCCCTTTCTCTACTTGTTCGGTTGTTTTTTTTTTTTTAATTGATCCAGGTTCTGGAGTTTACATTTCTCTATTATATTTCATATCATTGGCTCCACCCCAGCATTTGAACCCATCAAATTCTTTTTGAATCCTAATTTAGCCATGCAGTATCCCAGTTTTGTATCTTCTCCAAATTTGGTAAGCCTTGTATATATACCTTCAATTAGAATGGTGATTTTAAAAAAAATTGAACAAAACAGGTCCCAGAACAAATCCTGTGGCCCTGCAGATTAACATTGACCCTATACTTTTACATTTTATCAGGAAGAATAACAGTAAAAACTGTTAAATGCCTTATTGAAGTCCAGATGTTTTGTAGCTACATCATTCCCCTAATACATTAATCTGGTATCACTGTTAAAAAAAAAAAAGAGATTAGGTTAGGCTGGCTTGACTTGTTATTAATAAATCCAAGTTGGGAAGCAGCATTCTATAATGGAAAGCTCATTGGATTTGGAGTCAGATGATGTAGGTTCAAATCCTAGACCTTTTGTTTACTACTTCTGTGACCTTAAGCAAGATACGTTGCTTGCTGGGTTCTCTGTTTTCTGATCTATAAAATAATGGAGTTGAACTAGATAATATCT